ACTCGCACGTATCACAGAGACGGACCGATCAACTGCCGAGAGGCGGCGGGAATGCGCCAGCTCGCTCGGCCGCGCCAACCGAAAGCCGTATAGCACGTTGTGATCGCGTATATATATATCTACATGGAGATCCAGACTCCAAGAGCGATGCAGTCAGGCCGGGGCAGGTAGAATACACATCCGGATACGCGCAGCGCGTGAAACGATCTCGACTCGATCTTTTCGCGCTCGCCTGTGTATTTATATAAATGTATACGACTTCATTGGACGTCGACAAGTGCAGCAGCGGCAGTGGCAATAATAACGTTATACACACACACACACACACACACACACATTATATACATTTTCTTTTTTTATTTTTCCTTCTCATGGATAACGTGCAAGCTGTAGCTTTGGTACCCTGTGTACATATATAGATAATTCTTTGGTGGAAAAAGAGAGATAATAACTGCGTTCGCGCGAGCGAGCCGAGCTTGTATAAGTGGAAAAATAGCTCGTTTGAACGATCGAAAATAATAACGCGCGCGTGCCACTGCGCGCGGCTTACCTATATTTAATGCTCTATAAGTGAATGATATGAAAGAAGATCAGCAGTTATTGAATTAGATTCCTGTAAGCTTACGCAGCATAAATCGTGAATCGCATATTTACTCCCTGACGCGAGCGGCGAACGAATTTGATCATAAATAAATATTCGCTCAAACGGACCACTAATTATCGCATTGAGATAGCGCTTGATGTAGGCGCCCAGCTGACTGACAATGCGCTATACGCACCAGTAGGATCGGTAATCGATCGATGATCGGTATCGTTCTCGTTACCGATATTCGGCTCTCATTAGCTGGGTTATCAAAATAAAACGTGCGAATTCTCGTGCCCCAGAAGAGAAAAATTCCATAACTACTTCCTGATAAGCTCGGCAAACTATGTTTCCACGAGTAAAGTCCATCCACGAGCTTCGCGTGATGTGACAAATTTTCAAAGAGAGAAAAAAGAGAGAAATATTTGCGTCCACTTGGTTCGGGTTGGATGTCACTCGGCGATGTTCGCGTGTTTACCGACGATCAACATTCGACTCAGTGCGGTATTTAGTACACAGGCTAAAAGGCAACAAACGATTTTCGTGAGAATTCGGTATCATAGTCGTCCTCCATGCGTGATACAGCACAAAACACAAGGAGCTTTACCGAAAAAAAGGGCATATAGACACAGTGTGCCTTGTGCGCCGCGCGGATCGGCAGCAGGCGCACGATATTCGCAAAAGGCAGGAACGAGCTCTCTGCTGCTGCAGAAGCGAGGCAGGCCAGCTCCTCGGCAATTGCCTGAGCGAGCCGAGGAGAAAGTTACCTTGGCATACACACACATACATACGTAGAGAGAGAGAGAGAGAAGGCGAGCCCCGCGTGCGCCGCGCACATATGTAGGCCACGACTTTGACCGCTGCCTCGGCAAGGTCCACACGATTGCTGCTGCTGCTGCCTCGATCTCTCGCCAACACGTTGTGTGTGTATATGTGTGTTGGCTCTCGACTCTGATATACGTGCACACACGCGCATGTCTGTAAGTGCGTGTGTTTGTGTGTGCGTTTACGTTCGTCTCGCTTATATTCACACGATAACAGCTCACAGAGAGCTCACCGCCGGCCGCCGATGCTGCTCCTTTTTTTGCGCACGAATTTTCGAAGTATTTTTCGTTGATTTAGCGGGATTTTTTGTGCCCGAACGTCTCAATTAGCTTATACATATATTGGGTTAAACTGCCATGGGTCAGCCAAACAAGACAAAAAATAAAACAAGTCGGAAGCAAATTAACCACTCTTGGAAATGATCGATCATTTCTCTCTCGGCGCGTCGCGCGTGCGACATAATCAGCCCTAAACAGACACGTATATTCGTATATTATATTGTATGTAGAGTTCGTAGAAAGCTGTACGGGGGGCCGGAGTTGTTTATTGACTCTGAGCTCGTGAGGATCGATATAAACAATCTCAGATACACATCGACACTTGTGCAGCAGCGGCAGCAGCTCGGTCAGATATAAATATATAGTGCACCATATAGGAGTGTATATAAATAAACGCAGCGCACAGCATCGCATATATACGCGCCAATTTCGATTTTAACGTTACAATACTCTTTATACATGGCGAGGAATTGTTTATGTACACACACATACAGCTATATAAGGCTAGTTCGCGCGCGCTTACATTCTTATACTTTCTTTTTCCTTCTTCTTCTTTTTTTGTAGCTGTTGTGTTTTGCCATTTTCTTATATTATAGTTATAAATGTGAAATCGAGGCAATAATCTCATTTTCATCAAACTCTATATACATACGTGTAGAGTACATATCAGTGCGTGAGCGCGATATATATGCGCGCTGCAATGTACATTGCCGCATCGACTTGTGCGATCTATATATACCATATACGCGTCTATATGTCCGTAATGTCTCAATCTCCAAAGTTACAGTTAGAAATTTCATATTTATATCTCTCTCTGCTGCAGCAGCGGCTGCGGATGGCTTTTCAAACTCGACGCGCACAATAAAACGAGCAAAAAGAACGAGCCTACGTTATTATTAGTGCAATATCGTGTAATGAATGAATGTGTATAATATAGAGCGAATTTGTTATACACGCATTCCCACGCAGCAACGGCAGCAGCTCTGAGCGCACAATAAAAGGAGTCTTGCCCGTGCGCGGGTACATTAGCAGTTCGCGGGCCGCGATTATCATGCCAATCGTTTGCACAAATGTCCAATTAATTTTCGTCCATTATATACGCACACACGGACAGAGAGAAATATATTACTGTATACGTACATAGCAACGGGAGAAAAGGCACACTTAAGTCTATCAATTATTATTCCACCCGAGGCCCATTACGTCTTCGTAGTCGAAAAAACTGCACCGCTGTACGTACTCATCTACACATTTTCAACAAGATAATAAAGCCTTTCGGGGCCTCTTCAAGGCGGATAATGGGTGTGCTCCGGTAGCTCGAGACGCGCGCAGTGTCGTCCGCGATATCACATTTATGTATAAGAAGAGCTCTGCGATCGCAGCAAGAGAAAGGGATCGCGAGCGACGATCGGGCCTTTTTTGCCAGCTCGTGCATGCTCTGTTCGCTTTTTTGTTGCCGTGTCGACGTGCGGGAAAAATCTTCCGGATACGATATAACTCGGTCGGAGATTTATGAGGTGCTGCTGCTGCTCCGGACTCGGAGAATTACGGCAGCTTTTTTGGTGGTCCTTATAACACTTTTATCGATCACGCGATTTTCAATGAAAAAAAATGTTTGGAATAAACTTTCCGTGGTTGATAGGAATTGAGCGATTATTGCGAAATAGTGTCTTTTGAGCACGATATACATGATATGCTTTGCATCGAATAGATTGAATTGTTACCACTTTCAGAGCTCTTTTCGTTGACCTTTGATGCTGTTAAATTTTCATGTGTAAAAAAACCAGTTAATGGGATTAAGGTTCAATCGATGATCGGAAAAATCGGTTTAACGGCAATGCTTCAAAGAAGAAATGAAAGATAAAAAAAATTATTATTATTTAAGTTTATATATGAAGCTAAGTCAATGGTTGTTCATATTCACCACAAAATTATTGACATTTTGAAATATATTATTGTTTTTCATGAAATTAAAGCATATGGAAGATTGCCTAAAATTACGTAGCCTACTCATGTGATTGTAGTAGTCTCCATTGCGTCCCAACTTCGCCGAATAAATCTTATGCTCCTAAGGTTTGCAACGAACATGTGCTCCATTGATATGATATTTAAGGTGATGTTTCCATACAATTAATTTTTGCCAAATTTTACATTCAAAGCGATAGCTCCGATCATGTACTGCACTGATGTGTTTATTTAACTCGCCCTTGCATCAAATGATATGTAACAAATCATACATTCAAAGGCTTAAGGTTTTACTAAATTTAAGTACTGTATTGTCTGTAATTTTTTAGGGGTTTGTTTGTATCTAAATGATTTCTGAAAAACCTCCCATTCGAAGGGTTCTCTCCGATTGTGTACTGAATTTATGTGCCAATTGAAATTACTCTTGTCTGAAAATGATTTATGACAAATGTCACATTTGAAAGGCTTTTTGCGATTATGTACTGCATTTATATGCCTTTCAAGGCTTCTTTTTTGTCCAAAGAATTTATGACAAATATCACATTTGAAGGGTTTGCTCCGATAATAACTGCATTTATGCGATAATTCGGATAATTCTTGTTTCCAAATGATTTGTGACAAATTTCACTTTCAAAGGCTTTACTAAGTTTATGAACTATATGTATGTGATTTTTTAAGGTATGGTTTTATCTAAATGATTTATGACAAATATCAAAATCGTAAGGTTTGATACGATCATTTACTGCTATAATGTGCCTTTTGAGATCTGTCTTTAGTCCAAATGATTTATGACAAATGCCACATTCGAGGGGAATGCCAAGGTTATGAACTTTTAATTTGTGGCTTTTCAGTAAATTCTGGTATCCAAATGATTTGTGCCAACTGGCACATTCGAAGGCCTTACTGCGATTATGTACTGCATTCACGTGACGCTTGAGGTTACCTTTTTTTCCAAATGACTTGAGACAAACATCACATTCAAAGGGTCTGCTAAGATTATGTACTGCAGTTATATGAGAATTGAAGGTATCCTTACGTGCATATGACTTTTGACAAATTTCACATTCAAAGAGTTTGCTACGATCATGTACTGTATTTACGTGAGTTTTAAGATGTGGTTTTTGTCCAAATGATTTGTAACAAATATCACATTCAAAAGGCTTAATACGATCATGTACTACATTTATGTGAATTTTGAGGTGACCCTTTAATTTAAATGATTTTTGACAAAAGTCACATTCAAAATGTTTGCTTTGATTGTGTACTGCATTGACGTGACGGTTTAGTTGACCTTTTTGCCCAAATGATATGTGACAAATTTCACATTCAAAGAGTTTGCTACGATCATGTACTGCATTTATGTGCCTTTTAAGAAGATACTGGTATATAAATGATTTGTGACAAATTTCACATTCAAAGGGCTTGATACTATTATGTAGTAAATTTATGTGAACATTTAGTTGGCATTTTTGTCTAAATGATTTGTGGCAAACTTCACACTCATAGGGCTTGCTACCATAATGTACTGTATTCATGTGAGTAATGAGGTGACTTTTTCGTCCAAATGACTTCTGACAAATCTTACATTGAAATGATCTAATTTTCTTGTGTTTCGTATTGTTATATCTTTTTAGATTCACTTCTCCCTTAGAAGTTTTTTGATACGTTTTACATTCATAAAATCCCTTTGTTCGAGATGTTTTTCTTAATTTTTTCGCTTCTTTATATAGTTCAAATTTCAATTGAGAATTTACTTGAACTTGACTATTATTATAAACGGAATCATTGCTTGTCAAAATTACCTGATCTTTGACATTCAAATAATTTGTCTTGTTTCGGTTTTCTAATATTTTCACAATAGATGGATTGCTTTGATACTCAATTTTGCAGATGGTTGTCGATAAAAACTCCTGTTCAGGTTTAACATTTTTGCACTCAAAATCTACAAATATTTTTTCGCCTGACCTTTTCTGTAGCGCCACAGACTTATTGATGTGCTAAAATTAAATTGTTGGATTGTTATGGATATCGAAAAATAGACATCATACAAATCATTGGACTCACCGATTATCTACAAAACGAAAATGTTTCAAAGTTTTTGATATCGCCAGAATCCACCGAATTGAAAATATAATCTTCTCCTGCGTCTAACCAAGTATCTTTCGGCTCTTCCTTTACTCTATAATTGAATTAAAGGAAGCGATTGCTTTAAAAAACAGACATTCGTAAAATAATTAGTTAGTACCTAGCTGTGTTTTCCATCATTCGCTTGATTATTTATAACCACTGTGTGAATTTTCACTAAATAGACCGAAAAAATATAGGTTATGTGCCTCGAGTAGCCATTACTTAACTTCGCATTCACCAATTTATAAACACTTGCTTGTTACAGGAATATGGCTCATCTCTAGCGACTAAATGCATTATAATACTTGTATAGGTAATATTAGAGAAGTTACCCACGATACCCACGAGGTTACACGCGATTAGGATAGCTGCTTATTTTCCCCTTCCTCCTCCGACGCATGCTGCATGAGTAAGTAGATTAAAACCGAACTGAAATTGCAATGAAAATGTCATTCACACAGGGGCACAATTTACTTACGCATACTTGCAATGATTGCGGAGGAATATGTGCATAAAAAAGAAATATAGAAACCCACACTGACTCACTAGGGATATAAGGAATAAAGTTCACAATATGGTCATTGGGACGCCAGATGATAGTAAAAAATCAATAGGCAGTTGCATGCATAATTTAACGAACATATGATTTGAATAAATTACGTCTATTTAGTACTAAAATCAATAAACGATTTAATTTTTTACAGGGAAAACAACTTTTATTTATTGAATTTTTCTTCAAGCTACTCGTGAATACAGATGATAGATTTAAAATGAGAAATTTGAATGGACATTACATACTTTCCACACATGTATGTAAGACATCCGCGACAAGGAAAGTAATTTAATAATGCAGTCTTTGAGCCGCGACGAAAGAGCTGTTGCCGCTGCTGCTGCTCGTGCCGGAACAAAAAATCATCCGCCTTACGCCGTCGCTTCGATCGGCCAAGCATTACATCTGCGCTTTTTACTCAGCTCGGCGTGTACCGCAAGCACGCGCCTATAATATGCATTATATTATATGTACACATTGTAAATAGAGTCGTATTCTTTTTTTCTTCTTTTCTTTTTATATGGAATTAGCCTGATTTTCGTCGCAAGCATGAGTCAAGCTCAAGGCCACACGGTGGCAGCAGCGGAGAAACGACGGTGTAATTTTTGTGTGATCGATGAAACGATAATTTGGCTCTTTTTGTCTTGGCCGATCATCTAGGAGCACATTATACTACTCGTCTTTTTACGTACTTGCAAATTAAAGTCAAATTTATACATTTTATATCAGGGAAAAAATCCGCTTCATTACGCGCATATACATGGCCAATTCTCTGTGAAATCGAATGGCCAATTTTTTCTGGTGCCCCGAAAAACTTGTTGCTTTTGATGCCGTACATTTTCCCCAATTTCATTCAAATTTTCAGATCTGCCTATCACATTTTCAGGTGACTAAAATCGAAATTTTGTCGGAGTCTATGATTATTACTAATGTCTATAAAAATTCCATCTATCTTTCAGAAAAAATGCCAGAAATCTTCATTACAAGAAATTGATAACATTTTTAGAAAGAATTCTCCTAAAAATGTCTAGGTTTGGGCACTATAAGAGCTTGCTATTTTACAAAGAAACAATGAAGTTAAAATCGAATCGGTTTGATTCGGGCTTCACCTTAGTGATCATCATGTTTATCATATGACTATTCAATGCATTATATTTTTCTTTGAATATTGACTCTCGCTTTTTATCTAATTCTCCTGCACCCCACTCCTCTCTCGTTTTTCCCCCTGAAACAAAATTTCAAAAAATTAAAAATGCATATTAAGCAGATTTTTTTCAACTTTTTTAAGAAAAAAACAAAAAGAACTCTCCAGCGGGGAATCGAACCTTTTTTTTTTTTTTTTTTTAAAAGTTTATTCACGTTGATTGGATACAGTAGTTAATGTCCACTGTAAAATGGGCTCAACCAAAACTTAAACAAAGGCCCTACATATAATACACAGCATAATTACATACATGGCACATTATTGTGCATCTCGTAGGTAGTCGGTAACATAAGTAAGATGAAAACAGTAATATAAATAAAAAAAAGCATCAAACATAATGCGATTATTGTACAATAATTTGCGTTTTAAATTGGAACAAAAAATGGTAAATAGGCGATCTATTGATAAGATCACGGCGCCTAAGTCACCAAAAAAAAACCAACAAAAATTATATATGTTATAATAAAAACGTCACAGGTAATATAATTATCCGTAAAAAATATTATTAAATAAAGTTAGAACAATAAGATATTTATAAAATTATACAAGAATAACATGGTTAACAAAGAATAAATATACATAAAATAAAAAAAATAACGTACATAGATTGAAATAATCAAACAATATGTTATGGTAGCCAGTGTTATCTTACATCTGGTCTACCACGTATTTCCATAAACATATCCATAATGCGGGGAATCGAACCCCGGTCTCCCGCGTGACAGGCGGGGATACTGACCACTATACTACTGAAGATTTGAAAATCGGAGTTTTAAGGCGATATTTCAAAACAGCCACGACTCCGAATCATTTTAGTCATTTATGACCCTGCAAAATGGAGTTTTGAGCTGAAAAATTCGAAGCAATCATTCACTCCGAATTATTTAAGTTATGTATGACCCTGTAAAACGGAGTTTTGAGTCGAAAAATTCGGAGCCAACACGACTCCAAATCATTTGAGTCATTAATGACCCTGTAAAACGGAGTTTCGAGCCAAAAAATTCGAAGCCAACATAACTTCGAATCATTTTAGTCATTTATGACCCTGCAAAATGGAGTTTTGAGCTGCAAAATTCGGAGCCAATTTTATCATATGATTTCTAATTCGTAATCTTATCGTAAATAAAAAATTCGCAATTTTATCGTATTATTTCTAATTTGGAGGATCGACAAATTCTGGACATTTGTTTATCGAAAAGACTTTGGAAATTATTAAAGTGACATTGTTCGATAAATAAGGTAAGAATCTTGGATCGAGCTCGTTTTGAGTAGGGTGTTTTTCTTTGTACATTGCCTATATAGCCAATTTGAAATTCAAATTGAGTACATAAAATATCTAAACGACTTGACATATTTTATCGCTTTATCGCTATCTTTTCAAATGGTCTCAGGAAAAGCGACACTGCTGCGAAGTTCGCCTCGTACTCTTTCCAGCGATAACTATGGCCGAGAGGCTATCGAAAAGAATAATTTTGACCATTGACTCGAGCACGACACGATAGGCCTGTGCTATCGTATCAAGCAGCAAGTCAGCTGTTTCCAGTACGACTTCGTGGGTAAGCTGAAGCTGTCGCCCTGAAGCCGCGATATTTTCAGAAGGACGTCGGTGGCTACTGCTTGACGATGATCTATATGGATGCGCTGACCTACAGGACAGTCGCGATTGTACTGTAGAAATATTGTTTCCCTAACGACCAACTCAAGTGACATTTTTTTATGACAAATAATTGTAAGACAAATTTGAGATTAAACAAAAGATATATGAAATAAATCAGTCATAAAGTAAATTATTATACATTGATCAATTTTACACAACAGTCTGTAATACGTGTATAAAGCTGTTTACAAATTTCGAACTTTCCCTTCTTCTTTTTAAAATACTGCCATAAAAATTGATCTTTCAGAAAGTATACAAAATGTTTAATTTATTCTTATTTAAAACGAGCAAAGCTAATCATTTTTTAATATATTTTTTCCAGTTTAAAGAAAAAAAATTTTACAATCAAAAATTTCCTCAAATTCAGATTCAAATAAATCGAGTGAACTGTCTCTAACAATAAATATTACTTATTTACACATTGTATAATATGCCATTTTACTTTTTATACATTTTTTATTTTATTACCAATGCATTTAATTATGAACCCTACTGCTGTTCTTTGTAAAGGACGCGTGTATAATCCAAAACATTCATTTACAATTCCTTACAAAACTATACACGTATTTATTGTTACAGAAATAACCTTTAATTCAATAATTCTTAATAGACGATACTTAGAATGAACGAGTTAATGTAGTGCACTGTATTATACTTCTAGACTGACAATAAAAAATAGATTTTTTCAAATCGTCGGGACGCCCAAAAAAAAAACCCAAAAAAATAATCTTTGCTAAATTCACAGCTGACGCCATTTGGAGGTTCGAAAACATTGAGGGGGCATCCCGACGATTTGAAAAAATCTATTTTTTATTGCCAGTCTAATACTTGCATATACTGAAAAAAATGTTATGGGTGGATCTAGTTAAAGTAAACAGGAGGGATCAAAAAATGTCTTTTGCTGTTCTAGTTGTCTACTTTTGTTATATCTACCCATGGATGGGGTGGACTAAAATGTCAATTTGTAGAACTTTTTCATTGATTTTTAATAAAGAAATCAGTTATGATAGTTGACATGAACATGTTGACTGGTACTAGTTCTTGAACGTGCTGCGTGCCGAGTCAGACGAGGTTTCTCGACCGCGTATGGTAGTCCTCCCCTCTGAAGCACGAGTCGCATCTCTCCGTGAACATTATAGTCTTGGGTGAGCATCTGATCGTGTACTGTATTCAAATGAGTTTTGAGGGCATCCTTTCGTCCGAATGATTTGTGACAAATCTCACATTCGAAGAGTTTGGTCCAATTATGTACTGAATTTATGTGAACATTGAGATGAACTTTTTGCCCAAATGATTTGTGGCAAATGTCACAGTCAAAGGATTTAATACAAACATGTACTGTATCCATGTGCCTTTTGAAGCTACCTTTTTGTCCAAATGATTTGTGACAAATTTCACACTCAAAAGGCTTTTTACGTTTATGTACTGTATTTATGTGAGTAATGAGGGTACCCTTTTCTCCAAATGATTTGTGACAAATCTCACATTCGAAGGGTTTGCTACGATCATGAACAGTACTTGTATGTTTATTGAGGTCACCCTTTTGTCCAAAATATTTGTGACAGATATCACATTCAAAAGGTTTGCTACGATCATGTACAGTGTTGACATGACGTTTAAGTTTACTCTGGCATTCAAATGATTTCTGACAAATCTCACATTCAAAGGGTTTGCTACGATCATGTACTGTATTTACGTGAGTTTTGAGATGTGGTTTTTGTCCAAATGATTTGCTACAAATTTCACATTCAAATAGTCTGATACGCTCATGTACTGTATTTATGTGAGCATTGAGGTGACTTTTATGTCCAAAAGATTTTTGACAAATTTTACATTCAAAAGGTTTGCTACGAACATGTACTGAATTTATGTGTCTATTGATAAGGCTCTCATATTTGAATAATTTATGACAAATCTTACACTCGAATAATTTCTTTATTCGAGTTTTTTTATCCAAGTAAATAGTCTGAATTTGGTTTAATACTTTTGGAAGAGGTGGATAATTCTGATTCTCAGTTTTACTGGTGATTTCTGATAATGGCTTTAAGTCAGGTTTAACATTTTTGCATTCAAAATCAATATGTATATCTTTATCGATGCCATTGGTTTGATTTTCGTTTTCTAATTTCACGAAAGGCGGATAACTTTGATACTTAGATTTGCAGATGGTAGCTGTCGACAATGATAAGATTTTAGGCTTAACATCCTTGCACTCAATATCTGCAAGTATTTTATCATCAAATTTTTTCTGAAAGGCCGTCGGCTCATTCAAGTGGTTGGCCTAAAATTAAAAAGATGTAACACTGTAATTGTAAGAATCCGCCGTAACGAAATTGCAACCATCGTCTGCATCTGACCAAATATCTTTCTGCTCTTCTTTCACCCTTTACAAAAATCAAATTAGGTAAAGGGATCATTTCGAAATATATTATAACATTCAAAAATAAATGTTGTACCTAATTATGTTTTCTCTGTTCTCCATTACTTGTTTTATAACATGTACTTTTACTCTGAATTTACTCGATCTAGTTAGAAAAAACATTCGAGGTTATGTGCCTCGAGTATGCAATAAACTGCGACTCCATTCTACCAATTTGTAAACACTCACTTACTGCAGAAATTCCGCTTCTCGATAGCGACCTCCCGCACTACTGACGTATATTAGCGAGGTGACTCTGCAATTGTGATCTTTGACAATAATTTCCCCTTTTCCAAATACTGTTAGTACGTAGTAATTTACTGTGATACATGATTCGTATGCTACTAAAACTAACAGAACTTCATCCATCCAGATGCATAATGCGATATACATGTGGATAAAAATACAAGTGTGAAATATTTTTTTGAACTCATTCCAACACGGGATACAATGGTATTGCACAAGTGATATTAGAAATGAAAGTTGAATCGGTAAAGTTGGAGCGTCAGATGATCGTTTCGTGACTGTTTTTTTTTTTTTTTTTTTGAAAATTTATTTACAGTTATCAAGATTTAATTTACATGGTGTAGCATAATTAAGAGGCTTAAATTTGATTCGAAGAAACGCACAAGAGTAACATAAACAGCTGATTCATAGTTAAATAGTTTCTCCCTCGAAAATAAAAACTTTTTAGCGACTTTTTTGTACTTTTACCCTACACATAATCACACAGATATCATAATTACACAAATTAAAAAAAGATCGAACAAATAACGAATTTGAAGAAACTCATTTTTTATTTTCAGAATGTAACTTTTAAAATATCCAACTTATCCATAAGTGGCAGTTCGGGGGCGCTGTACAGCGCTCACAAGGCCAAAAAAAAAAGAAGAAGAAGAACTTATTCATAATGTTTTTATTTTGATGTTGAAGCTTAACAGCTTTTCTTTTAAGTTCCTTACACAAATCCTCAAAAATGTATTTAGACTCGACGAAATAACCAAGAAATAGAATTTTTAGAAAAACAAAAAAAACTTTCCATTATTAACATGTAACTTTCAAAATAATCAACGTTTCCTGACGTCTTTGGTCTTAAATTAACGCTCAACTACTCTTCGTTTGTAATCACTGCAAACATTTTCAAAAAAATAACTTAAATCTCACAAAAAACGGTTAAACAAATTATTTGCCTTTTATCTTTATCACAATCAACAATCAATGCCGTTTATTATTCTACACGATTTAAAGTCTCGTTTTCGAGATAATTCTCGCGCAAATTTTTCAGCCACTCGATTTCACGGAGAATCGGCTATATACAAAAAGTATACTTGCTCGGGTTATAACTGTTTCTCGAACGCGAAAAAATGCGAAATAAAGCAAAACAACACACACCCGTGTGTGCGCGCGCGCGCGCCTGTGTGTGTGTACTGCTGCCTCCCTTATTATATAGCGCCCAAAAAAAAGCTTACATCCATTTTAAATGAAATCAAAATGCTCCGATCTTCGACTGTCTCCTCTTGCTTTTTTCCCCCTTTTCACGTGCACGTCGTCTCGTTAAAATCAGCGCCGAAAGTACGTCAAAGTCTTGTTCGCTTCGCCACAATGCACTTCTCTCTTCTCTTCGTGGGGCTTCTTGACTTTGCCGCAGTTCGCTTTCAATTAGTATGCGCAGATATACATGCTATACTGGCTTGTGTTGTTTCTCTCTCTCTCTATCTTTCTTGTGATTGCTTGGGTCAGCCGTTGCCTGCCGGATCCTAATACGAGGAAGAACACGACGGCCCAGTTTTGCGCGTTCGAGAGCTGCTACTGCTGCTACTGCTGCTATATGCAGTGCGCGGTGCACAGGCAAGCTTGAATTATGCCCGTTTTGCGGGGAAATTATGCGCGAGGAGATTTTCGGTGAGAGTCTCGATCTGCCGCCGCTGATGCTGATGCTGAGCACGAGTTCGAACTCGCGGGGGCCATGAGTCTGCGTGAGTATTTTACGGGATGAGGATATGTCTCGAGACGACGCTAACAAGCCGCGTATACACACATTATACGCTCACATACATATACGATAATGTAAGCCAAATAGATTTTATCGCGAAATGATCCGCGACTGCAGCGCGCGTATACGCAAATGTCGCTAGCTGTGCGCATTATACGACTAATAGATTTTTCAGCTGATTTACGTTACTTTTCCATACTTAATAAGTATGAACATAAATACGACTTTGTCTTACTTTCATTCCGATCGGGTCTTTCTATTTACTTTATTATAACGCAGGTCAAAAGGTCTATACACAGGTCTATACGCGAAACGGACGTTTTTATGATAACTCCGCTATCGAGTTCGGTATTGGTATTCGCGGCGCACGCACGAGACGCATGTGTGTGGCATCTTTTAATTACTCCTCGTGCCCTTACGCACACACACACACACACACACACACACACACACACACCCGAAAGCACGACACGAGCTCTATATATCGTCATCGCGATCCTCTATCGAAGCTGTTTTTTCTTCAATTATAGCGGCGCGTTCGCGTATACATACGTAATATACAAAGGGAGAGAAAAAAAAGAATCGGTAAACATTCCGATCGCAGCAATACTCCAATTCAGCAAATTACATGCGATACATGCGTGTATGCGTACAGCGATCGCGCCGCCACCACATATATACCGATATAGCCGCACGCATGTAATCGCGCGCGCGGTTTGTATAAAAAGAAACGCGCGGAATCCACGCGCCAGCCGGTAAACAGCCGTACACACATACGACTCATCGTAGTCGTTCGAGTCCTGAAGTTGTATGTGTGTATGTGCCGAGTCTCGTCGCATCACATCATCATCATCAGTAGGTCAGCGGAACAGCGCCCACGGCGTATGTATCGGCTCTCGTATATACATACAGCAGAGGCACCACATAGGCCGTCGTCGTCGTCGCCGTCGTATATACACAACTACCGATGCAGTATATGTAAGCTCCTCTCAGGCAGCAGCTTTTTTTTCTCCTTTTTTCCTTGGTTTTTCTCTCTTCTTTTTCTTCTCTCGGCCAAGCATTCGTCGCGGGATTATATTCGTAAACGCGCACAACAGGTGAAAGGGCAGATATATACGTATGTGATATCGAATGCAGCATGCGAGTAAGGTGTAGTACTGTGTGTGTGTGTGTGTGTGTGTGTGTGCGCGCAAGGTGCGCATGGGAATTTTGCACTCGCGATCCGCTCGCAAAGAGAGTGAATGGCAAACGGGGCAATAATGCCCCGCAATGCACCGCACTGCATGTATGTGTGTACATGTGTGTGTGGATATGAAATCGCGTGAGCGCGCGCGATTTTTCGGCGAGAAAATTGGACGATAATGATTGCTCTTTGCTCTGCTCTCTCACTCTCTTTCTCTGCGGACTCTCTCGACCTGCCCAACTTGGACGAGGACGACGATGATAATGGGCGTGGCTCGTCCTCGTCGTCGTTTCTCTTCTTCGAGCCGTAGTACGTGTATGATGATTTTTTACTTTCGTACGTGCACTTCTTTTCTCTCTCTCTCTCTCTCTCTCTCTCTCTCTCTGACTCTCCGCAACAAACGCGATTACGCTCGGTTTTTAATATGAAATATTTAGTTCACGCGTATGCATTAAACATACATACATACGTATATGCACATGCCGCGCGCATGCATATCATGGAGTACAGCGAGAGAAAGTATATATTTGCGCGAGACGTGCCTGTGTGCTGCTGCGGCGGCACACAGGGCCCCCGTCGCACTGCAGCGCGCACAGCTTATTTATATTTAGTGTCAATCTGTAACACTTTGAAGATCCTTCATGGTCGCACATTAGCTGCCCGGACTCTTTTTCCGTGTTCGCGAGCCGAGAGAGAGAGAATCGCATTCGGCAATCGCTCGTTCCTTATTTTACCTTCTTAATTTATAAGTAAAGTCAAAGAAAGCGCGCGGGACATCACTGCCACTGCCGCCTGAGCCAGTACGAGCCAGCCGACTCTCGGCGCTTGCAACAAAGCCAGCCGCACAGGCGCTGCGTGAACCGATCGTTCGCGTACAGGTGCGAAACAAGTTATTTTATAACGGGTGGCGAACAATTAAATAATTGTTACAACTCTCGACTTTAAGAATTACAGAGATGTATATTTATTAAGATTATCATACACTAATTTTCAATGTAAAAAAAGATATACAATTATATTATTATGACACATGGTTTACTCGGCGATAGCCTTAGCGACGGCGTTGGCCTGGGCCACTGCCGAGCCGGACGGTACATTGAGGGGTACATCGAGGTGTCCCAGGGTTCCACCCAGACCTCCGCCGAGACTTCCGGAACCAGCACCACCACCACCGAGGTGGGTAGGAGCTACCACTGGTGGGCGACGGCCACCGTCGGCGATGGCTTTAGCTTCGGAATTGGCGATAGCCACGCCTTCCTGGCTCTGTTGAGGCTTGTGCTGGCCACCCACGGGCCATCTGCCACCTACACCGACTACTTTTGGTTCGTCGACCGGTGGTCTGCCTCCGGCTGGGGGACCCGATGGTCTGCGGCCTTCTTCTTGCTTAGGTCGCTGCTGGTTGTTGTTGTTGGGTCTACCTTGGTTGGGGCGATGTTCGGGGCGTCCCTGTTGCTCCTGCTCCCGATGTCCATGATGCTCGTGGTGCTCGTGGTGCTTGTGATGCTCGTGATCCTGGTGTTCATGATGCTCGTGGTGCTCGTGTTTGTGGTGGTTGTCCTTGTTGCGATTTCCGTGGTTGTTTTTCTGGCGGTTGTCGTGTCCGTGACGATGTCCGTGACGATTGTTGTGTCTGTACTCCTCTGCCTCGGCTGAAGACTCAGCTGACTCCTCTGCAAATTCGACAAAACACAATGATGTAAGTAAGTTGGCACCTTAAAGATTAAATTTTCGATGCACTTGGATCATTATACTTACGGGCCAGGGCGTAGCTCACCACCAACAGAGTTAAAAAGCAAATCGTTAATTTCATCTTGACTACTGACTTGTGAATCTGCTGCTTTGGCCGATTACTGTCACTTTATATAATACTTGGCGAATTGCAGTAGTGGGCTCGTTTTATGACGATGTAGAGAGAGAAAGAGAGAGAAGGAGAGAAAAGTTTACTCATCTGTTTACGATCGACCGAAAATAAGGTATGCAAACAGATCGTCGGTGCAGCGAGTCGACGGATGAACGCTGCTTTGATAACGATTACAGCATTTTCCGTCGTAAAGAAATTAATCTCCGTAATAGGGTATTACGGCTTCTAGAAGCTCGTGAATCTTCGAATCAAGGCTAAAAATGGATGAATTACGAGTTATAAGTTTAATCAACTCCTTTCTTTACGCAAAGAAATTGATTTTCATTCGACGAGGTTATGATAACTTTTTCCTACCTATATTATGTCAACAAATGGAATTACACGAAGTTGCATAATGTATGCTGATCATGTGTCACGGGTTTGCAGTAACAAATTTTTATTCGTCATAAAGCGTGAGAGATAATTCAGCTGAATCGTTCGATTTTAATTCAACGAGAGAGACATCTGCTGAAATGCGTTACGCAAAAGGATAACATTTGCATCTTATATGCCAATTGAACTCATTACATCGGACGGTTTCTTAATTTTTATGAATCATTCTTATGCTCTATTCAAAATAAAATGTATCGAATCTGTGTCCATATAAAATAGTTTAAAAGATTTTAAATCTTGAAATTAGAAATTGGAACGAGAAAAATCAAACTATCGATAATCATCAGGTGAAAAAAAGGTCAATACTGAAGCCTTTTTCGAGCAGCAATGAGATTTTTAAATACTTGTGCTGTTAAAATAAAATAATTAAAATCAGTCGTTTCTAAACCTCAATAATTTTAATTGACGATTTAATTTCCACTTTAAAGACAAAAATATATAAAAAATAAGACATAAAGATTGTACTTGATTCGTTTTGCCAATATAACTAATAGAATCAAAATAACCAAAATTTAAGATAACTGTAAAATTTGTTTCAGAATATTTGTCAAGATTTTTATAGGTATAGAACTAGGCCCTATATTTACTAACATACTTGTATTTGTTCAAGTACTAGTTATATATAATATATTATAATATAAGATTAATCATTGTAATAAATTGTTACATAATTATACAAGTTAATATTTGTTCACTTGACAAACTTTTAAATTAGTCTTAATTGATGCGCATTTGTCAGGCGTTATGAAAAAAACATTTTATTAAAACTCATAATGCCACGCGCATGATTTATGCACACCGAATTTCGTTTCAGTCAATAAGGAGCTGGAACAAATGATTATATAAGTGAATTACGTAAGTACATCGACACCGATATATTTTGAGTCTCACCAAAATAAACATTGGAAACGTAATGATTTGCTTGATTGGTGCATCACGTGCAGCGTGCAATTCAAAGCTATTGCCAATTTTCTTAATTTCTTGCAGATGGGTGCATGCATGTCGATTGTTATACCTTGAGAATAGGACGTTTTCTAAAAAAAGTTTTTTTTCGATTTCCCTAATGTTTTTATTTATTTATTTTTTTTTGTTTTATTTTGTCGTTGGAAAAGTTTTTTGGAGTAGTATAAAAGTCGCTAAGCTTGAATTAAAGACCAAGTTCATAAGAATTAGTAAAAAATTTCAAAAATTGCATCCTGCGAAGGAAATATGTTTTTTTGTGTTTCTTGTATTCTTACAGTTTATCAGTTTTTTCTCTTGGTTTAATTTATTTTTCAGATTACTTTAGCACTTACTGTAAAAAAAGAGTGCCTCAACTTGATACAGCTTTGAAATTGCGTCTATAATTCATTTTTTAATATAAAAATTTATTAAGATGACGTATAAATGCATACATATTTTGAGATTTTTTAATTTAAGAATACTGTACTTTTCAATTAAATTGAAACCTATTATTTTACTAATTCATTTTTTTTAATGACGTTGAAAATTTGTATAATTACAAAAAAAAATTAAGTAATATTAGAGCTATGCTCTCTTTTTTCATTTATTTTGATTTTAACATTCATTGTTCAACAAAGAGACTTCCGAGAGCTTTTCGAGGTCATTATTATTTTTTATAATAACACATATAACGAAGTTTACGATTTTGAACTTATGTTCGTTTATTTATATGTACTCGCGTGTATATGCGTGCACTGGAAGAAAAATTAGCACGGCACATCTGCGTTCTGCAGTTTTTTTCCCAACTCGATTCGCTGCAGACTTTTTTCACCGTTGAAAATGTTTTGATATCGGAAATAATAGTTACAAAAATGAAAAAACTAAACCACGTCTTGGAATGTAATCGCTGAACAAATAGACCACAAATCTTCGTTCGTCAGCTGCTTGATGATTATTTCACAGCAGAGAATCGGCAGCTTGTAGCCTATCAGCTCCAAAAAAGGTTCCAATGTCCAACGCCGAAAAAATCCTTTCGCCATCATCTCGCACAGATGCACAGCACAAGCCTCATTGGTCGTTTCAGGGATGAACTCGTAATCATCTGCACGCACGAAATTGAAGTAGTCCGAGTACGTGACTTTTTTAGCCGCCTCTTCAGGTCTCAATCGGACGACGTCGTAGAGTGGCAAGCTAGAATCATCGCGTCCTATCATTATATCTAATGCTGCGCTCTTGAACTCCTCGTTATTGTACCAGTACTTGTCGAAATTTGCCGACCTCTGAAACAATCCATGTCGAGCGAAAAATTGCATGATCGTCAGGGCGTCACATTGGTCAAATTCGTATCCTTCTTTCTTGAGACGCTCGACGACGATAAAAGCGTCAGACGCCAGTCTTAATTTGCTACTATTATACGATGTTTTGAATCTTTCACCGAAGTGGTCTCTAGTGGGAAAAACGAAGCTCGACAGATCGGCGCCACGATCCAAGAGCATATCAACCATATCCGGCAAGAGATTCGCCACGGCCCATCGAAGGGGTGTCCGACCCGACGTGTCCGGGGCATCGACTTGCACCGGCTGATTTTTGCCATCGCAGATCTTAAACAACATCTCCGCCAAATCATCGTTGCCTTCTGCCTTGCAAATGATATGCAGAGCAGTCAACCCTGACTTGTTGGCCGAATTCGGGTCGGCGCCGTTTTCCAGCAGCAATCGAGCCACCCCCTTGCATCTGTTTACCAGAGCCAAGTGCAGCGGCGTATCGCCCGTTTCTCGCCAGAGGCAATTCGCCTCCTGCCCGAATTCCAGAAATTTTTCGACCACGTCGTTACATCCTGACATGCAGGCCGCGTGGAAATGCGTCAGGCCCGACTCGTCGGTGTAATTCGCGTCGTACCTGTCGTATATCTTGAAGAGAGCCGGCACGATGAAGCGGTAATCGTGTCTGGCCGCGTAGTGCAGCGCCGTGGTGCGACGCAGCGATGGCCCGCCGTCGCCATTTGTATCATTGACTGCGAGCTCGTCTTTGAAGTGTGCCCCGATGAAAAATTCGATTAGCGAAAATCTGCTGCAATCGAGATCGGGATCGTCTCGGGTCTTCACCTCCTCTGTTAGAAGCCAGTCGATCTCTTCGTTTCGAAAGATGTCGCGGAGATCCGGAAGTTTGCCCTTCCAACAACGAATCAAAATCTCGAAGCGAAGGAGAAGTTGGTGTCTCTCTTCTTCGATCTCCCAATTGACCCTTTCTCGTAAGCTCTTCAATTTTTCTAAAGTGCCTTGGTGGAGTCGGTCCATGGCTTCAATAAGATTATGCACACACGCATTCACGCACAAATACAGTCGCGTATGGTTTTAGTATTTGTACACTCGCGTTGAGAGGAAATTTTGTGTATTTGACGACACGCGAAAATCACTACTGGACATGTTTCTGTTATCGGTCGCATTCTCGAGCCTAGTAGAGCCAAGCATATGTAAACACAAGCGCACAGCGCAAAATAAGATGTGGAGTTTTAGAAGGTACTGACCGACGCTTGATATTGTTTTGATGCCAAGTGTATTTTGAACAAAGCACTTTAGTGTAGGTCAACAAAGCAAGTCTAGATGTCACTGCGAGAATCGAAAATGTCCTTTTTTTCTTTTCATTTCTCCAGTAGAGTCTAAAAACATTGACTACTTGAATTTTTTCGAATTCTCGAATTAAAGAGCAATGTTTCACGCACATCATTGAGAAGTGAATTGTATACAATACTTGACGTATCCTCTCTTAAAAAATTGATGGCTTGATCATGTCATCATAATATTATAAAGGTGTAATAATTGTTTATTAGAATTTTATAAAGAACCAGTTGAAGATGGAGCATGATTAATATTTTAGTTTTGTGAGTATGAGTAAAAGATTTTTCCCAATTACAACAAAATGAATAACAGTTAGAAATAATTTATTGTTGTGCGAAAAGTTTAAGAATATTAATGTGAAAGATTTTCCATAACGTAGAGTTAATATGTGAGAGTGGAAATTTTTATTGATTTTATTGTATCGGATTAGATGATTTGCTATAATTATTTACTAAATTTATATGAATTTCGAGGGGATGACTTCTTCCAAATGATTTCCGACAAATGTCACATTCAAAGGATTTACTTCGATTATGTACTAAATTTATGTGAGTCTCGAGGTTGAACTTGAATCCAAATGATTTGTGACAAATTTCGCACTCGAAGTGTTTGCTACCAACATGTACTCCATGGATGTTATATTTGACGTGATGTTTCTTCCCGAATGATTTGTGGCAAATTTCACATTCGAAGGGTTTACTTCGATTATGTACTAATATGAGTTTTAAGATGTTCTTTTCGACCAAATGATTTGTGACAAATTTCCCACTCAAAGGGCTTTTTACGATCATGTACTGTATTTACGTGAGTTTTGAGATGTGGTGTTTATCCAAATGATTTGTAACAAATATCACATTCGTAAGGTTTGAGAAGATTATGTACTGCATTTATGTCCCTATCAAAAAAAGGCAGATGATAAATCAGATGATTAATCATGTGATAAGTCAGATGATTTATCATCTGACTGGTCATGACAAAACATC